GAGCCCCTACTGTGTGCCAGACACTCTTCTAGTTGCACAGCCCTGAACAAGACAGTCCCTGCCCTTGTGGAGTTTACAGTCCAGTGGCGGAAGCACATGATAAACAATATCAATATGTAAAATCTATGGAGGGTCATTTGGCGGTCGATGCTAGGGAGACAAGCACCAGGGAAGGGAGAAAGGGGGATCAGGATCTCAATGTCAAATGGTGTGATCAGGGAAGGCCTTACTGAGGGCCCGAAGGAGGTGAGGGAGCCAGGGCGGTAGATATCTGTGAAACAGCTCTTCAGCAGAGGGCACAGCATGTGTAAAGGTCCTGGGGCAGGACCGTGCCTGGCGTGTGGGAGGAACCTCAAGGAGGCCCGTGAGGCTGGAGCAGAGGGAGCCAGTGGGAGAGAGGGAGGAGGCAGGGCAGGGAGGGGACAGGGGCAGGTCATGTAGTGCCTTGTGGGCCACAAGGAGGACTTGGACTTTGACCCTGAGGGAGGGGGGAGCCCTGGGATGGTTTAGAGCATAGGAGATACATGATCTATGTTTTTAAAAATGTTGATGTAATAACCTTCAAGAATTGCCGGAGTCCCGCCCCAGCTGAGTCCAGGTTCCTGAGGGATGGACGGGGTCAGCACAATAAGGGGAAAATAAAGAGGACGTGAGACTTGGGTTGGTGTTAGCAAGTCCAACTTTACTGTGCACAAGTGTCGTTTGTATATTTTTCAGGATTAGTACAGAAATAGTTCTACAAATATTCTCAGAGAGATAAGGAAGTAAAAAAGGAGCACAAGAACATTTATTAGCATTCTATTCTATAGAGCATAAGGTTAATGATCATCTTCTCCACAATTAACTAGTGTTTGTTGTCTCTAAGCTAAAGGAGATAGGTACCTAGGCATCTGTTGTAATTCATGGTAAAGTTAAATCAAAGAGAGAAGGTCCAGGCCTCCGGGCAGGACAGCATTCCGTCTGTTTACATCCTGGGGGAGCCATCCCTGCCTCCCTCAATCATTTACGCCATTAGTGTAGATGGTTAATGGGAACAAAAGGCGACTCCAGGGTGTCTTATCCCCAGGGCTAT